CCATCTCTTAAAGTGACGATTGAGGATTTGGTCGGCACAACCTGAACACGACGCAACACGTCTTAACACACAGAAATATCAGATCCTAATAACAACAATTCTACCTAAATACACGCCGTGTTAGTAGTGTGTGCGTGCAGTGCAGTGAGCGCGTTCAGCATGTAAAGGTGGATGGCACAACGTTACTCCTTCCTATAGCTACAGAGTCACTTAACATACTGACGGTAGGCTGTAGCAAACAACGAGCATATTGGTTCTCGTTGGCACTTCATATAGTCAATAAGTTGAGTAACTTATTGCTGGTAAACGATACACTATAGAATTTGCAGCGGTTCGAGAGCTTGCGTTCTGATTCCGCTATCGCTCTTTCCACGTAGACTTAGTCACTTACTCCTAAAGTCAAACGAATCCTCGCAATTTCGGGCCAATTTCTGTAACTTTTTGAAAGTGTTATGAGCGGCCGCCGGTTCTACGACCATGACGCTGCTGTGGAACGTCTTGGGCCGGCGATGGTAGGCCACAGCGGAGAGTTGAGGTTTGCCGAACAGATGGTCGATGTTGTGGTGCACCTGCGAGAGAAGGAATTGTCGCATCTTCATTTAGGTAATCTACACATTATTATGTGACACAGGTAACAGTGTAGATCGTGTTCAGGGAAAGAGTACGTTATTTGAAATGTCATGCAGGATCACATCTCGTATACGGGAGAGGAAAACGTGCTCGCTAAGCCTTAAAAGCGCGCGTTGGGAGCGAGAGGAAAGATAGAGGTTGAATGAGAGAGACGTACCAGCGTGTCAGGCGCAAGGAACACACATTTGGAGTATTGGCGGCAATACTGCCAAGTGGCAAGTGCTGCTAGGGACTCGTCCATGACGGACATCCGCATGGCGTCGATCCGCTCCAGGCCGCTAATTGGTATCATGTCGTTGTACAGCTCCGACAGCAGGTCTCTGCGCATGCGCACACACCCACATTCAATGTCATCATACACGCATTCCGTTACTAGATTACGTCAAGCTTATAGTAGACGCACCAAAGGTTATGATGATTGGACGTTTTGTTTTACCCGTAATAAACGCGTGCCGATTAGGGAGAACGAGGGACCGCATGTTATTGGTCATTTTCTCACCTGAATTCCATAGAGACTTTGTTGGTAACCATGCAGGCGAGTCTGCGGGTGACCTGAGCATGACGCAGCGAATGTCCGAGTACGAGCGCACCGATCGCCTCTCCGTCTGTCTCCGCCGCAGTCACGTAGGCTTCGTCTTCAAGCGCGGCTGCAAATATTACAGGTTCCGTGAAGCATTGTTAAATGAATCTCTCCTCCTTCTCTCACCTATTTTTCTCCTCCTCTCTCTCTCCCCTACCTCTCACCCATCCTCCCTCTCTCTCCTACGTCTCTCCTCCTGCCAGTCTCTCTCACCAACCTCTCTTTCCAACTTCTTTCTTTCTCCCCCACTTCCTCTCCATCTCCGCGCCCGACCCGCTTCTTCTGTGCCTCATAGAGTCTCGGAGCAAAATCTAGTTATCATTATGAGTTCTGACGTTCGAAGCTATAACTACATAATAAGAAGAGGTATCGATACACAGTAAAGTGTGAGGACAAGTTGGATGTTCAGCGCTAGTTATGATGTTATTGTTATTGGATTTCACGTAATCAATCATAGGTAAAAAAGGGCATTGAAATGTTGAATTCTTGTGTTTCGAGCCTGTCATACTCCTCTCTATTATTCACTCCTGATATTATTATATGATAAATATATATATATATTTATATCAGGAGCGTATAATGACAAATGACAATATATTTGTCATTATACGCTCCTGATTTATATGAATATCAAAACTGATAATCTTCAGTCAGCTTTGAGAAAGCCTCCTGATAGGAGGCGAAACGTCAGCTGTACGTTTTCAATCAACACGGTTGAGTAACAATTAACCCAGATAGATCTATTATTCTACCAATCGAATGAACTATGTGGTGGCCGCGATAAACAAGCAACAGTACGTTACTGTCTTGAATTGGATACAACCTGCCGGAAAACACTTATAGCAGCTGTGGAAAAAAACGTAAATTGATACATCATGACGGCATGCCTGCATGCTTGAGCCTTATCTATAGGTTATTGCTATTCGCTACTGCTGACTCTACCCATGTTGACAGAATCATGGAAGGCTAAAATAGTTTGTGGACATTTCCTACTGACTTGTAATATAGCAGATGTATTTGATATAAGGATATCATTTCTTAATTACCATACATTGCTGACATCAAAGTTGCTGATATACACAATATTCTGCTGGTTGTGCTTTAACTGCCATAATCAGCCGATGCATTACGATCAAACCAGTGGAGCGTCCTACACTAGTGAATAATACCACGAATAACTGGAACATGCTAGAAACAGTGGAAACCCATATAAGTTCAACTCGTATAGACGATGCAGCTATGCAGTGACGATCAGGTTTCAGGATTTGAGTTCAGAATTCAAGTTAATGCTTGAACAAATTTGGATTCCGATTTCGAACACTAAAAGAACCGTCGAGGAGGCACTGACCAAATTCGAAAATAAATTAAAATTAAAAGAGTTCTACGAAACTTATGAAAGCCACATTTTCTGTATGAGAAACCAACAACCGTACGACAATTTTGACTATACGACAATCCTTGTTGATCTTCTATTCCCAATCTTCCGGGGGGGAGGCACCGCAGCCTTCACTGCTGAGCGACATAATTATACGTCTCTTAGGAAATTCTAACTATATTTGACAGATTAAGATCTTGTAGTGTATAGCGTGACGCTACACAAGTGTGAGGGGAAAAGGTAGGAGAGTAACCGGGAACGAATAGCGAACGGCAAAGACCTGACGTAGGGGGACAAGACGTGTCTTTATTGCGCCAGATAACCGCAGACCGGCAGAACCTCGAACCACACCTGAGCGTAGGTGTGCGCGGGGATTAGATGCTTACGCTGCGCGCCAACGCCGTATTTATCCTTCTATTCCCGCTTTTATACCGCGCGCATGCGTCCTCGTCTTCGCTTTGTTTTCAGCGGAATGTCTCCGGCGGGCGCGTATCATCGTCACCCTCATAGATCGTGGTGTTCAATAATCTGATATGCTTGGTCGGGAATAATCTAGTATGCCTGGTTCTCAGTGGTTCTCGATCATGCGTCGGCATGCAATTTCAGCCCGTCATACAATGTCTACTACATGAGTAAGCTGATATTTCTCTATGATTGTTAACGAGCGGCATTACTCGCACTACATTGCTTCTCGCCCGCGCATAGTTGCATAAACATGTCCCAATGAATATCCCATTGACAATATAGCATAAATGTAATATTGGTCGCTAAAATCTACTGTAGGTGCAAAACCTTCATCTATCTACCTGAATCGAGATGGCCCATGTGAGTGCTACAGGAAAGTCGCGTACATGGTTGTATAACGATATGCCAACAAGGTATCCCATAGAAAACATAATCTATAACTGATAAAGGAGTGAAAGGTCTGAGAAGGAAGTCAACCCATTTCTAAAGAGAAATGACTTGCCATCGGAGAGCTATGGCAGAAAATGCAGAGAGTGCATTCACTTTGGAATAAAATATCTACTGTATGCCAGTGTCAATATACTACTGGATGTAACGATATTTGCATTTGCCACACCAAATATCAATGGTGCTTCAGCGTACATTAAAAACTTATAGATAAATTCCAAAAAACAAGCACATAAGTATACCTAGATAGTAAAATAGTAACTCATCTAAACGCATGTATTGTAAACGATATGTTGACACGAACCTTTAGGTTAGGGTTAGGGCATGACAGTTTCGACATGACACATCCATCAAAGATGAAAATGCCAGGACTGATCACAACGTCTTTAGTGGCGTCTACTAAAGGATCGAGTCACTATCTAATGTCTTTAGATAACGACAGACCGTTTCCCGGTGAACTCTGATAGCGTCTGTCATATTTACCTTTGGGGCCTGAAACCATCCCATTTTTATTGACTATTACATCAAGCTCTATAAGATAGATCTCCTGAATGACGCAACATCGGAGACTCATGTTGAGATTGAAACACGCTTTTCCATGAACGGGGTTTTCTAACCGTTCATAGCTAGCAGTAGCAGGCAGTTCAGTTTCTTCCGGCGTTCAGCATGTTGGACAGAGAATTGCATTTCATCTATGAATCATCGGGCCTGGTAACATTCAGGCCAATGGTGCTGTAGAAGTTGCCGTCATGTCTCAAAAAGTTTAGCAAGTAAACCATTTTTAAGTTAAAAGCATTCTTAAATATTGGCAACAGATCACGACTACAACCATAACTACAACCACAACCACACCAGAATCAAGCACATCTAATAGTCTAGCACAAGAGCTACTGAGCTTAGACCAAGTCAGCTATCCCAATATAGGAAGACATCCAAAGTGCCATCAATTTCATAAATAATCTCATAAATTTCAATAATTTTAATAATCTTTTAATTTCATAATGTTAGCGACAGTGCGAGAATGTAACAACAGAGTAATGTCAATAAGCGACAGGACAATATCGATATTGGGAAGAGGATGTCTTGACACAATCGTTATGCAGTAAATCTTCTAAGTTTACTGCAAAGTGGGAGCGACGTAGACGAAATTGCCGTTGTCTCCTGACAGAGCCCCAAAAGTTCTACCTTCTAGCACATGGTCCCTAAAAATTCTCATTTGTTTCAACGACGATTCATTTGGGAAAAGATAGCCACATGCCGATATGCAGCCAGCCCCGTCAAGCAAAGTATACACTAGTCAGCATCAATGATATAAAAGTTTCCTTAACATCAGCGCAGCAGAATAAATTACCATAAAAGCCATTGAAGTCAGGGGTACGCATTCCATGTCAAGTACATGACCCCGGCTGTCATGCATATTCACAAGCTCATCAGATTCGAAGATTCGCAAGAAACACCAATGTCGATGACCGATAAAGTGATAACGCTAGCAAGCACAGCCTAGCTGCACGCATGAACAACGCATGTTCAAATGTTTTACCTTTCTTGCTCAAAGCAAAAAAGGGGATGTACTGCTCGGTAGCTGTTTGCAGATCACGATGAGTAAACATTTACATGCTATCTATAACGCTTTCCCTTAGCAACGACTTCCCTTACCCAAGTGTGCAGACATGGCTTCAGTTTGCCATTGGCCAAATTTTTACAAAAACTTTATAATCATGTCATGAATAAAGTAAAATATAATATAATTTAAATATTCATTTTAATAAATTCAGACCCTTTACTTCGGAGGACTGACAGATTTTCCCGTGTCACTAATATGACAAATAGCCACTAGACATGTGACAAGTTTACGTACAAACCATTTTGCGTACTTATAATTTTGCTCGCAACCCATAATAAAAACCTGAGAACGTGACAATTGGGCTCATCAAAATCCACTCATTCAGTCTTGCGAACAAATCCATTTGAATGACGATGGGAAGGCAATATAACGATTAATGTCAGTTAACATTTCCTATTATTGTTAAACTTAATACGTAAATTATTATGGTATACGAATGCGATCAATTCGTATAACATAATATTCAGGAAATGGATCGCGCAAAAACAAATGCATCATATGAAAAGATCTACTCACGTGGCCGCCCATCTGCCACGAGGAACTACATGACATGTGATTTTAATTGTTACACTAAATCACATAGGAAAGTGTTAGATCGCATTAAATTACCAGATACTGGTAGAAACTGATCTAACGTTAAATTTAATTATTATATTTAGTTTCAGAACAACATTTTGCATGTCGGTGCATGTCCTCACGCTATGCATATCATCATAGCACGTCGACGTGTTGTAAATAATTAGAACTACTTACATCAGTGTAACCTAAATATATAGCTACATACGAACTTACATAACTGCCTTACACATGTTATGTGAGATAGTAGTTTAATTATTTGTATGATAAAGCAAGCTGATAGTCAACAACGTCTTACAGAGCTAATCATTGGCCCAGCCTATTGAAGTTGGATTTGTGCATGCGAATCATCCTCTACACCCACTGCAGGCTGTTTGGTTCATTGCTACTGAGGTTAGTAAAAAAACAAGTTTGTCACACCTTTGGTCTTGAAGCTTATTGCGATGGAGAAGGTGCTGCTTTCCCTGGTCGTGTTGGTTGCAGCAGTGTTGTACATAAGAAGCGGTCAGAACGTCACATACAGCGTAGAGGATCCCGACGATGTCTACGATTATATTATTGGTGAGTGTACCGCATAACATGATTTGTAAAATATCATACAAGTATTTTTAACTATAGTACATGATCACTGCATTTGATTATATTATGTTATATTGTTGCAAGTAGGAAGCAACGCCGGGTGGATGATATTATGACATTAGGTCCCTATATCAGTGCAAGTGTTATATTTTGATAAGGGGAGGAGGGACAGCAGAATGTGTGCTCGCTAACCGTCTGTCTGAGGACCCTGATGGCAAGGTACTGCTGGTAGAGGCAGGAGGAGAACCAGAGAGTAATGAGGACATAGATAAGCCATCTTCACGTGCACTACTGAGAAACACGAAGATAGATTGGAACTATAGGACAGTACCACAGAGATTTTCCCGCTATGCCTGCGAAAACAAGGTAGCTTCTATGCGTAATTACATAACTGACCCTTATTTAAAATTTCTTTATTTAAAAAAAATTACATAGTGCGTAAAATGAAAGCTTCACTGTGAATCTGAAAAAAAAATCGTTGAAAGATATGGTGCCAATGAAAACTACAATGGACATTAAGGTTTCTTTTTTTTCAAAATGTGGCGTAACGCAAAAAGTACAAACAGCAATTTTCCCGAGTGTGATAATGTCCAGGTCCACATATTACCCATATGCTATAATCCCGTTTTATCTGTGAATCAGTTCAATTCGCATGTAATTTTAATCAGAATTCAAAATATTGCATAACGTGTATTTAAAATTCAAAACATCCAGCAAATCAAGTGACCAAAAGGAAAGGTTCTTGGAGGTACAAGTTGCCTCAACGCTATGGTTTATATCCGTGGCTCACCCGAAGTCTACAACGCATGGGATAAGATGGGAGCAGCGGGATGGAGTTCCAAGGACGAGCTTCCATACTTTAAGAAGTCTGAGGACATGCAGATACATGATCTGATCAACTCCAGTACGTTTAAATCACTTTTATGCAGCTGTGCAGATTACTGTTACATCTCGTGAACGCTCGTTTGAGGTGGCAGCACTATCGTAGGACTTCGTTTTTTTGGATTGGATGTGGTTTAGAATAGAACTGGCAGTATATTTTTAAACTTAAATTATTAGGATATAGGAATTAATATAGGATAGATACAGGAAAAAATTATTTATCAAATTTGATTTTATAATATTTATAAATCTAGTAATTTTCGTAATATTTTATGTGGAAGATATACAATGAAAGTGAAAAGGGCAAGCATTACAGACACATAACCCTTGATAACATCGAATAAATATCTGTAATATTGATAAACTTTTAGAGTATCATGGTGTCGGAGGGCCGCTTACCGTCACACGGTACTCCTCCACGGAACTTGGGACTTTGGTTCTGGACGCAGCGCGAGAAATAGGATATAGAGTTGGTGATGTGAATGGAGAAAACCCCTATGGTAAATTAATTAATTAATTGATATTTTACGGTAATGATAGCTTGTTTATTTTAGTGTGTCTTTATATATATAGATATAAATATTAATATATATATATATATATATATATATATATTTATTTATTTATTTACACGGTTTTATATGGTTTATGAGGACTCAGATTAACGTCAGAGGCGGCACACGTGTACACGCTTCTAAGGTTTTCTTGAAACCCGCCATAAGCAGACCTAACTTGCACATCATAACTCATGGTCACGTGTCAAAGGTAACCATGTTTTAAAATTAAGCACACACGATCACGTCTTGTTAAGACATCATTGCAACTGTACATATATTTATATATATATGTAACGAATTTCGGTCTGCCGCAGCATCACATCCCCGCGTTCTGCTCTCGGCGGCACGTCCCAGCATCCCCGGGGATGTGAGGGGGCTCACCCCCGCATGGAAGGACGAATGCACGTGCTGGCCACGAGCGTGTCCGAAGCCGACGGACCGGTCACGGTGAATCCGACGTGCGTCACGTCCGAAGCCGACGTGCGTCACGTCCGAAGCCGACGGGCGTCCCGGTGAAGCCGGCGTACGTCACGTCCGAAGCCGACGTGCTTGTCACGGGTGAAGCTGACCCACGTGTCACGTCTAAAGCGGCGTGCGAGTCACGTCTAAAGCAGCGTGCGGGTCACGTCTGAAGCTGACTTACGTGACACGGCTGGGCCTGAAGCCGACGGGCGTGTCACGTGTGTGCCGGGACGCTGCCTGCTCTGAGCCGTATAAATACCGTGCTCCCCAGAGCAGCCTCAGTTGGGTTAGCAAGTCATCGACAGCAGTTGAGTTTCAGTTCAGTTCACGGCAGGCTCCCGTGAACCGAGGCAGACAATCACAGAGCGAATCGTCGTGAGAGGAAGCCACAACGCAAGATACAGCACGAAGCATCCAGCGAGCTCTGCACGACTTTGCCCCGCTCTCTACAGAGCGATCGTTTTTGGTAAGGCCTTGCGCCTTCGTTGTCTCTTGTTAGCTATATCTCAGCCTTACGCTGCCGAGGAATATTGCTACTCGTCTTATGCCCACTCTGGCTCGGTTGACCGGAGCGCGAATGAAAAGCCGCCGACCTATTCCGGCACGTAAACCACTGTCATTTTGATTGTGTTGTTTGCTTTCTTGTGCGACGTTGTAACAATCAGTGGGTCGTAACAGTAGGAAGTCCACGCTAACGCGTGAAAAACGTATCATTTGGTGCCGTACCAGGATGTGTACACTCGCGTAGACCGTTTAATCGTCCGAGAGATCCACAAAGGCAAACGTGCCTGTAAGTATAGAGTAGGAAATAAGCACTCTAACGGTCGATCACTGGGTCTTTCGCTTGTGCATCGCCATCAGCTCTACCATACCTCACGTTTTCGCGCCACGTGTAAGCTCGAGTTGCCGTAGGTCCCCCGTAGTTCCTGGTTTCGCTTTGCGCAGTTGCCCGTCAGCTTACCCATACCTATACGTAGGTCGGGGGGAACGCGTGCTTTAGTACACCACCCATAGCCTGGAAAGATAGCGGACTTATGCCCATGTGCCTACTCGTGCAAATGCAGGTGAGAGTCGTCGGGGTGAAGTCGAAGAGCAACTTTCGTCTGCATACTCCGTCGTCACTGTAAGCGGAGCATGTGTGCTGTGCCTCCTGCAGTGAAACGTCTGCCGTTCGGTCGCGCCGTCGTGGGCACGCCCCCTTCCTGGTGGAAGCACGAACGTCCGCCCCCCCCCCCCCCAAGTCAGACGGGACGGACAGTGGTCACTTCAACCCCAATCATGAAGCGGCGCAAGTAATCAAGCCCGGCTCCTCGGCTACGAGCAGACGACGCACGACAGCTGAGTGGAGCAGCGATTCAGCACGCCCGGCTCCCGCAGCCGAAGGAACGCCTTAAGCCGTACGAATCTACAAGGGCCAAGGGCGACGTACACGCTGGAAGCGTTCTCGGCCAGTTCGAGTGGTAGCACACCACAACGGATGGGGACCACGTGAGAGGGCTGCCCGCAGCTAGCCGGGCGCTGTCTCGAACTATCCAGCGTCGGCGTGCGTATTATTGATTGGCAGTCCCGGGGCCACCGAGGAGGAACATCAGGCAAGCACTTACATGAACGTCTGCAGCCGCTGCGGATCGGAGTTGGAGCGTCACCTCCGTTTGGATGAGCGGCAGGAAGCGTTCATGGAGAGACATGTCGGATGTTCGCCCAGGAGCCCTGCACCATGCTACGTGCAGGCCGGGTCCGAAGGTAGCATAAGCCAGGAGGAGCTGCAGCGTCGCGGCCCGTTCGTTATCTCCTCCGTTCGGTCACCGACGGGGCCAGAAGGTATACTATAATGGAAAACGACGGCGGCCCACCAGCAGAAGGCGTTCAGCGCGGGCAGCGATCAGTACGAGTCCATCATGGCCTCGGCCAGGCCAGGCGAGTATCTCGCCGATCCGACGTTACGGGTGGTAGCTCGCCACCGGATCCGGGGCAGTATCCGGGCAGAACCGACGAGAGGAAGTCGCTTGCGACCACAGCGGCGAATGAGAGATAGGCGCTTTGCAACCGAAGATCCTCCGGGGTCTCATGCACAGCTTGGTGCGGGATTTAATCCGGGAGGAACTCGGGGCTTGACCCGCACCCTTCCGCGAGTCCCCACGGCCGACACCGAGGCGGAGATGATGCAGGCATCCAGAGCCGGGCAGTTTGCGACGCATGGCCATTGGGCCGGCCATCCTCGTGTAAAAGTGGCGGCGTATCCGCGGTAAAAGTCGCGAGGACTAAGGACATGTGTTCTCGCAGCCCTCGGCTTGACACGGGTGCAGCCACGAGCCGAGGCCGATTGCTGAAGAAACGCTCTGTCGCTGGACGCGCGACGAGCGAGTGCAGCGAATGGCAAGAGGAAGAACTCAACCATCGGGGCTCTGTCCGCCGCTGAAGGCGAGGAGTACGTGACTTAGCTCCGTACTCTGTTGCGTGGCCGATGAGTCTTGGGAGGAAAAAGTACTGGATGAGCGACTGCGGACCCGTGCTAGGAGTACGCGGAGACTTGACTCCTTCAGACGTAGACCCGGCGGTACGCTCAGCAGACATCGCAAGATTCCTCCTCATAGCTCCGCGCCCTGCGCGGAGGAACAATTCTGAAGCTCCTCCACGGCGGGAGGATGACGGGACACCGTCGGAACTCGCTAAACCACTTCGCTCGGAGTCCTGCCAACACTCTACGTGGCATGGAGCTCTCGCCGGGATGGTGAACGATGGTGCCGGGAAGTGCGGAACACTTTGCGCTAAGACGCAAAAGGGCGTCGCCGCCCAGAAAAACGACTGGACGTAACACCTCCTTCTGATGCAGCGTACCGTAGACACCTCAGGAGAGTTTACGGGGGCGAGTTCGAAACCTCATGAGTGTTCGGTCGTAGTCGGAGCGCGGTGCGACCTCATGTTTCGACTGCTTACCCGGGAACTGGAGATCCGGCTTGCCCGTTAGAGTATGTTTGATTGGCGGACAGCTCCATTCGTGCAGCCCGCATCAAGCACCGCGCGGCTAGCGCAATTGGAAGCAGCGGCGGAGCAGGCAGAATCGGAATTATGACACGTGCTCACAACCGGCCCCAAGCCTTTCCGCCGGGCACCGGTGTTGGCATACTACGGGCCCTGCCTCCTGGGAAAGCTCGGGCACTCCCTGGCAAGGTCCGTCCTCCTAGTATACACGGAGGCATAGGGACGCTTGCTGGGTGCAGCGCCTGAGGAGACTGACCCACCTAGTGTGGTCAGCGCGTCGACGACCTCAAACCTTACGGTGGTTCGGACTATGCTCGCGGAACGTTGGCCGCTTCGGGAAGAAACGCCATGTCGAGCAAAGCATTTCCCGGCGAATACCCACGGCTAGCACGAGGGAATCGACGTGGCAACCAGCATGCGACGCTCTCACTGTTGCGGAATCTGCCGTGAACGTTCAAGCTAGCGTAAGGGAGTTGCGAGCTCTCTGTTGTGCGAGGGACAGGGCGAGCCATTGGCGATGCCGTGCATTGGCAGTTCCTGTGCAACGTTTCGGCCATGTTCACGGAGCCGTTAATGTCAATGCGGAGCGTGGGATCTTTTTGTTGTCCCGGAGCTCCGGAGCTCTTTAGTGTTCGCTACCGTCACGAGCCGAGAAGACAGGGAGGCATTCGGGTAAGCGGTACCCATCCTCCATGTGTGAGGCCTACGCCAAGCGATGGTTCAGATCGGCGCTGCGCGGCACCCGCCACGTCTTGTAAGTCCTGTGCAGTCTGCTACCCTCACCACAATAATGTCTACGATGCTAGCAGTGTTTGCCGGCCAACTAACACTACAAACTACGTACGCGCCGCTATTTCCCAGTGTTGCCATTCCTTAGACGTAATCGGTACAGGATGGCTGGCCGTTGACGCTTCTCGTCGACGCCCCTACGAGTGGCATTACAGGTACCGGCACGGACGGGGATCCACAACCCGCCTCCGTCAGCGGCGGTTCGCCGCGCGCTGCTGGGGAATGGCCGCGTGCAGGATTGGGTGGGTACCACAGTGCGTCGTCTACTCGCCCGAAGCTGCAGAAGGCGAGCACCTGCGAAAAACNGGATCTGTTTAGATACCGTATTTCTTGGACCGCGCATTTTGCCTCGTGTGAACGCTAAATACCGGATTTCTTGCTACGTGTGAACGCGGCTATTATATACTAGCCCTCACCTAATCTCATCGATGTGATTACCACAGCCCAACACCTGGCCGATCGCCTTGCTCGTGCTCACAAACATCCGCAACCGCTTTTTGTATTGTGGCATCGTCACCACCTGGCTGTCATTACAGGTGTGTATTTGGGCGATGAGATCGTTGGACTTCTTCACGATGGCACCGTATCTTTGCGCGCTTAGTTGATGTCGGAGTTGCCATGGTAACCAGGGGGCGCGGCCGCCTTTCCATTCGTTTATAGAAATAAGCGGCTCATAGAAGTAGAAGACCTCGGGATGCGTGTTGAAGATCTCACCGGTCAGCGACGATCCGCTTCGCTGATTGGCTGTTAGAAGAAAGATGTCAGTCTTTACCACTTCTCTGATTGGCTGGGAGGTATTGATGAATGATGTCGATAATTAAATGAAACATAGTTGGTGAGTTTGTGCGCGCGTGAGTGCGTGCGTGCGTGCGTGCGTGTGTGCGTGCGTGAGCGTGTGTGCGTGCGTGAGCGTGTGTGCGCCTGCGTGAGCGTGCGTGCACATTAACGTGCGTGCGTGTGAACGTGCGTGCGTGCAAGCGTGCGTGCGTGCGTGAGCGTGTGTGCGCGTGAGCATGCGTGCGTGTGAACGTGCGTGCGTGCGAGCGTGAGCGTGTGTGCGCCTGAGTGATCGTGTGCACATGAACGTGCGTGCGTGCGAGCGTGCGTGCGTGCGCCTGAATGAGCGTGCGTGCGCATGAGCGTGCGTGCTCGCTCCTGTCTAGATGTAACGGAGTTACATGCAAGGACATGAGGCGATATAATCACAATCCCTTCGGATTTATGTAAGAAAAGAGAAATACGCGTTCGTCAGTGCATTCTACCCGCGAAACTCCGCTGTATATGACCACCTATATAGGCACTTAGCAAGCATGTCACTGTCCGTCACACGAGGACAGCTCGTATTTGTCAACAAAACAAGTGACCCACAGAAACTGGAAGTGGGGGCGGCGGGGCGGAGAATGTCGCTCTACAGGGGAAATCTTCGCCGAACTAGTTTACCGTCAGCTATTTCCACCATTAGCAACAACATCCATCGAGAACATCGCGTGAAAGTGTCTTCCGCGTGTCCACCGACGTACGGTGTCTGAGTTCTAGTGCGCAGCGTGTGTGAGAGTGGGGACAGGGGTTATTGACATGTTATAAAGATTCTATTAATGCAGCGGTATTGACATTTAGAAAGCTTATTAAGCAGTCGGCATGTTACTACCTGATTAATGCAGAGGGTATATGACATGTTATGAAGCCTTATAATGCACGGGTATATTTGCAGTGTACGACTTAAAGCACAAATTGACGTGTATTAAAGCCCTTATTTTATGCGGCGGTACCTTGATATGTTATAAAGCCCTTATTAATGAGCGGGTAGCTGACATGTCTATAAAGCCCTTATTAATGCAGGTATTGATATGTTATAAAGCCCTTTATCTATGCACGGGTATTGATATTGTTTATAAAGCCCTATGTAATCGAGGGTATTGACGCTGATTACCGGTGCTGTACGCCAGAGACCCTGCCACGCACTGCTGACCGTCCAGGCGTATCCGGCCGGTAGCACGAGCTGCTCGCCGCCACGCACCTGTTTGTTGCGGTGCGGCGTGCTTCGCGCTGATAGCTTCGCTTGTCGATGGGAAAGATCCGACCCTGACCTTTGGGGCTAGTGCGTTGAGCAGGAGCGTGGCGTGCGGCGGACAGGTAAAAAAGGGAAAAAAGTGGGAAAAGTTTATGTTTTGCAGGGAGCCTCTTTTTAAAAAGTCTGGAAAAATAGCTTCTTCGTCAAAAATTTTATCGGGAGCTATTTTGAAGCCTCACGCGAGCAATTTCTGAGGTTTGAGAGCGAATCGCTCATCGCTCCCGCTGGTATTTTTTACCCTGGCTCGGGGACCACACGGGAGTGCTCAGTGAGCTGTGGCCGGAGGGAATCTGGTATGTACTGCTCTCACGTTAACTTCACACGCCAGTGCGAATTTACTAATGATTCTAAACACGCAAATTACTAACTTTAACTTTTCAGTACTGCTGATGCAGATAGCTGGCACTTTGACAAAATAGTTTCAAATATGACAAAGAAACCGTTGATAGCCCACGGCCCCATACAGAGGCCCCTATCCACGTGAAAGAAAAACAACTTCACCTCAAACCGTGGATTATCTAGTGTATATTACAAGTCCGCACCAATACAAGGAAAAAAATGTTTGTAAACTCACGCATCTTCACGGTACCCACTCTCTGGCAGAAATCTACCAACAATAGCTCAAATAGACTGAATTCACATAAATAGACCTTGCTAAAAAAGAAATTACCGAGCAACAACTTCTTCAAGCACAACATCTAACTTACAAGAGACATGGAACACTATCAATAAATAGTTATATAAAACAATAAAACCACAAAAGTACCATGCCAGACAAAAACTTCTGAACAATGACAACACATCACTAACAGACACGACGATATATGCAATGTCATTTAACTCTGTTGACTTACCAAATGGTAGGCCGGAAATGGCAAAAAAAATTCCAAATGCCACGACGGATCACTCAAAATTTCATTCCCCTCCTAATCACAGAGAGTCTCTTTGTTTAACCCATTGTTTGCTGAAGAGATTCTAGATATCATAAATAACCTGGACATCCAGAAAGCCGCAGGAACCTGAGCAATATTCCTAATAAATTATCAAGAATCTATAAAACCCAGGTTGCTCCATATTGTGTTGATATTTTAATGACTGCGTAACAAGAGGTGTATTCCTTAATATATTAAAATTGCTAAATGATTAATACCTATTCACAACGCCAACGTGTCCAAACCCCTTTCAAACTATTCGCCCCATATCTCTCCTTATCAAGCCGGAGCTTTTTCCAAAATATTCGAAATATAATCATTTACTGACCAGACCTCTACAAGCTTTCCTAGGTCAAATGTGTATAGTATTCTCCTCCCTTCTCAATTTGGATTAGAAAAAAAAGCCATTCAACTGAGCACTGGCAATTTCTGAATTGTATGATACTGCTCCTTAAATCAATACGATGAAGGCGAAATATTCGTGAGATGCGAATCGTGTGCTTTGATTTTGTCAAAGCCTTTTGATACTGTCCCAGATAATACACTGCTTCCTAAACTCGAACACTAAGCGCGCTCCGGAATAGTACTCGTAGCGGTGTTCGAACAGGATCAACTCTTGTCCGCCTATCTTTTTGCTTACATTTATCGGTCAAATAGGACACTCTTCGGCCCCTTAGCTTCAATTTTAGTTCCAGAATTATTTGCTGATGATACGAAGTCTTTTTATGTCAAGGTTCAAATTAACTGAACTTGAAATTATGTAATCGAGAAATTAAAAATGTCAGGAGGGCTGATGCCTAATAGATTTATCTCGTTAATCCTTGTGAAAAAAACTTAAAATACATGATCTTCCAGTAACAAGCAATGTAAATTATTGACATGTGTTGATTTCACATGACTAACTTCAAAGCTACAACGGCTAATAAATATAAAATACCTTGGTGTTCATTTTGACACTATAATTAAAGTGGGATTTCAAGTCTAAATTTACAAGCACTAAACTGGCTATAATCTTCCGCTGCGAATTATCTCAAAACCAGACATGCGCTGCACCGAACAGCACCGCCCCCGGCCTCGGGCGCGTGCCGCGAATGATTATCACGCTTCAGTTTCTCTAAACAGCGCTCCTCCCGTAAAACTTAATGATATTCATTAAACCTAGGAACTATGACCAAATTTTTATGTATAATTTACTTGCAAGAACTGGCCTGACCTTGTCCCAACTATTTTATTAGAAATCTTCTTCATGTACACTCCACCATATACACTAGGACCTCTTCACAACATATGTCCTATCTATCTCCCAAGGTTCTAAAGCCTTCTCTTCGCAATAAAGTCTCTAAAGTTTGTAAGAGCAGGTGTACACACTCTGGAGTGACACTACCCATACCATAAAAAAAACCTACCCGTCTCAAGGTTCAAATCGGCCTTATAGAAAAGTACGTTTAGATACAACACTACGTGTAAACACCTAGTGAATCCTTTTCACTGATTTGTTTATTTATATTATATATAAACCATAAATTCGTTAACGATTTAACGATAAACATTCTTAATCGTACAAATTGTTTTTTGTCTTGTCTCAATATCATTATCTAGACTGGAGTCACCTGTATTTGTACAGTGACTGTGATGTGCGTTATTGTGCCTCTCAGTAATTAAGTATCATTTTCACTGATTGGTTTATTTATATTTGAACGAATTTCGGGTCTGCCGAGCAGTCGCATCCCCGCGTTCTGCTCTCGGCGGCACGTCCCAGCATCCCCGGGGATGTGAGGGGGGCTCACCCCGCATGGAAGGACGAATGCACGTGCTGGCCACGAGGCGTGTCCGAAGCCGACGGACCGGTCACGGTGAAACCGACGTACGTCACGTCGAAGCGCGGCTTACGTGACACGGCTGGAAGCCGACGTGCGTGCCACGTGTGTGCGTGACGTGCCTGCTCTGAGCCGTATAAATACCGTGCTCCCCAGAGCACCGGCAGTTTAGAAGCTCAGTTTAGCAGCTCAGTTCGTCAGTTCAGCGTTGAGTTCAGTTCAGTTCACCGGCAGGCTGCTAGTGAACCCGGCAGACATCACCAGGAGCGAATCCGTCGGAGAGGAAGCACAACGCAAGATACAGCACGAAGCAATCCAGCGATCTCTGCAAGGACTTGGCCGCTCTCTACAGAGGATCGTTTTGGTAAGGCCTTGCGCCTAGTTGTATCTTGTTCGCTATACTCGGGCCTTACGCTGCGAGAATATTGTCCCGTTTTATGCCCACTCTGGTCGGTTGACCCAGAGCGGAATAAAAGCCCCGGACCTATTCCGGCGTAAACACTTTCATTTTTGAGTTGTGTTGTTTGTTCTTGTGCGACGTGTACAATCCAGTGGTCGAACAGTGGGAGAGTCCCACGTAACGGGGAAAAACGTTACATTGGTGCCGTGACCAGGATTGTACACTCGGTAGACGGTTTAATCGTCCCCGAGAGTCCACAAGGCAAACGTGCCTGTAGTATAAGATAGCATAAGCACCTAACGTGTCGTCACTGGGTTTCGCTTGTTGGCATCGCCATCAGCTCTACCCATACCTCACGTTTTCGCGCACGTGTAACTCGAGTTGCGTATCGTTCCTGGGTTTCGCTTGTTGGCATTGCCGTCAGCTTACCCATACCTTACGTAGGTCGGGGGGGAACGGTGGCTAGTACACCACCCCATAGCCTGGGAAAATAGCTGGACTTATGCCCATGGCTACTCGTGCAAAGCAGGTGAGAGGTCGGGGTGAGCGAAGAGCAACTTCGTTGCCCCGTACTCCGTCGTCACCTGCAGCGGAGCATGGTGCTGTGCCTCCGGCGGAAACGTCTGCCGTTCGTTCGCCGGTCGTGGGCACGCCCCCTTCCTGGTGGAAGCACGAACGTCCGCCCCCGAGTCAGACGGGGACCGGACAGTGGGTCTATCAACCCAATCACGGAGCGGCAGAATCAAGCCCGGCTCCTCGGCTACCAGCAGACCGGACGCCGCCGACATCTGAGTGGGCAGCGATCAGCACGCCGGCTCCGCAACGGAAGGAACGCCTTAAGGTACGAACCTACAACGGCAAGGGGGACGTACCGCTGGAAGCGTTCCTCGGCCAGTTCGACGTCGTGGCACACCACAACGGATGGGACCCAGTGAGAGGGCTGCGCAGCTAGCCGGCGCCCTCGACTATCCAGCGTCGGCGGTATTATTTGATTGCAGTCCCGGGGCCACCGAGGAGGACATCAGGGAAGCACTACAGGAACGTCTGCAGCCGCTGGGATCGGAGTTGGAGCGTCACCTCCGGTTGGATGAGCGGAGGAAGCGTCATGGAGAGACATGGTCGGAATTCGCCAGGGAGCTCACCATGCTAGTCAGCAGGGCCGAGGTAGGCATAAGCCGGAGAGAGTGCAGCCGTCGGGCCCGTTGGCACCTCCTCCGTTCGGTCGCCGACGGGTCCCAGAAGGTATATATCATGGGAAACGACGACGGCACC